ACAACTTCAATGCAAACACATATGATGGACAGTTCTATCAAGAAGATGGGCTACCAGGCACGTTTGAGATAGTCTTACCCGAAGCGATCGAAATGGAAGTAGACAATGAAACGGAGGATGATGAGGTTGATGGAGATGTGGTGCAAAATGCCAAGGACATAGAAATGCTTGACCGATTAAGGCTAGTCAATGACGACGAAGACAACATAGAACCTTTAGATAGTGTAGCCCATTTGGACAATTTTGACAGTGATGACGACACCTATGATCCTAATCATGAAGATTATTCCTAATACATGTAATACTACATTTGTTTTAGTTTGTGTTTTCTTTATTTATTTTGAATCTATTTCTAATATATATACTAATAAGTCTTGTTCATTCTTTGTGATTGCAGGTGATGGCGAGCAGCCGTCCACGACGTGAGACGGCCTCTCTTTACGGGAGACCACACCCTCCCATTTTAGACGAGGGGTCGGGGTCAGGGGTAGCGTCCACAGGAGGTCAGAGGAGGACCAGGGTCAGGAGGAGGAAGCGGACTCCTTCCCCGCCACCTTCAGACGAGGTGATGGAGGAGGAGCACGTGACGGCCATGCTCGAGGACGAGGACGTCTAACAGACTGAGGACGAGGCAGCCGAGGGCGAGGCCGCTGAGGGCGACAGTTCTGCTACCCCGACTGTCTACCAGCGAGGTCCCACGAGCCTTCCTCAACCTCCGCTTCCTCGCAACCGGGCACTGATTCGTCCTATGGCAAAGAGGTAAGTAACTATAGATGTTATCACAACTACTTCATATGATAATGTTGGAAATCAAAAGAGGAACTGATAAATTTTCTTAATCACTTGTGCAGGGCCTGATTGGTTTTGTCGGGTGCTCCTGCACGCTCCCCTGCGAGCATCCTTGGTGTTTTGTGCAGGAAATGGTACCCCGGCCTTATGAACGTGTCCGAGGACGTGGGAGCCGGCCTACACGTGGGACAGGTACCAGTTGGCCCCTGACGATAGGTACCGCAACAAGCAGGAGCGGGTACTGGCGGAGTTTTGGGTAAGTCTCTCTCGCACAACATTTTCATTGGGCAAGTCTTTTATTGAAATAATGAATGGATACATCAGTTTTGTATGCAGAGGTATTTCAAGCCAGAAGAAGGACTTGAGGCCCGGGCGGATCAGGCGGCTGCCGTCGCCTGTAGGAAGTACGTCACCGACATGCACCACGAGGCGCGCGTGCAGGCCCATAGAGACTACTACGCCATGGTGTTGAAGCAGTCCATCAGCAAGCCTGATGCAAGACAGGTGGAGCTGTCTCGGGCCTAGTACCTTGAGGTAGATGAAAAACATTAATAATGATTCGTTTTGAGATTAAGTCGGTTTAATTTTATCTTTTTCTATGTCAAATAATCGATGACTTGTAGGTGATTCCCTGGTGGTGCCGATCCCACTCCGTGTGCTGGGAGATGATCGTGGACAGGTGGTTGTCCAACGACTTCACTCAGAATCACGCAAGGCAGCAGGACCAGTGTCTGCTGAGGCGAGGTGCTACTCACCATCAAGGCAGCCGCAGCCTCCCCGCCTACAAACAAGCATATGTAAGTGATTTCTTTTATCTTATTTGACCCTGAGTTCTGCCTTATTTCTCACCATCTTGTCGTCTTACTCGCAGGAGGCTGCACACCCGGGCGTGGAGGTCTCGGAGTTCTCTGCGTGGGCTATGTCCCACATGGGCAGGGCATCTTCCTCTATCTCCTTCGACCCGTCTGCCCCGCGCGAGGTGTACTCCGACCCGACCGTGCACACTAAGGTCCAAGAGTACACCTCAAAGGTGAGGGAGGTCCACGGGGAAGATTATGATGTGCGCACTGAGCCCATTGATGCAGAGACCATCATGAGGCTAGGAGGAGGCAAGAAGCATGGGCGGCTGTGGATTGCAGATGGCGCCATCGACTCCACCACTGTTCCCTCTCTCGACGTGCTCCGAGCACGGAGCACGAGCTCCAGCCAGCCCATACGCCCACGGCCTACTCCGTCACTGCAGCGGGTCGACGCTCTCGAGATACGTCCTGTTTTACTCGTCGTACGTTCATCTTTGCACACCTAAGTTACATTTGCATTACTTAAACATTGAAGTTTGTATTGCAGGCCGAGATGTAGGCCCAGAAGCTTGTGGTCGAGGCTCAGAGCGCGCAGCTACAGGCCCATAGGGAAGCGTTCGTGGCCCAGGAGAGGAGGATGCAAGAAATGGAGGCCTTCATGCGGAGTGTCCAGCAAGGGGGTGTACCTTTGCCGTTGGCAGCTCCTCCACCGCCTACTTCTATAGCCACTCCTGTAAGTATGAAAGTTCACTCTTACTAGATGCTTCCTTGACATACAACCATGGTTGACATACAAACTTACTAGATGCTTGACATACAAACTTACTAGATGCTTGACATAGAAACTTACTACATGTTTGCACTAGCTATGACATACAACCATGCTTGACATTCTCAATTTACTATATGCTTGACATAGAAACTTACTAGATGCTTGCACTAGCTATGACATACACCAATGCTTCACATAGAAACTTACTAGATGAATCTCACACATGCAACCTCTTATCCTTTTTGCAGCCTCCATCGGCGGGTTCGAATAACCCCGCTCATGTGTCACCGAATGATGGAGCCTTTGCTTCACCATCGTGTTATAGGCCGCCTTTTTGAGGAGTTGTGCTTCGTCATGTGCTTCGACTTGAGCTTCACTTGTGGTTGTGACTTGTGCTTGGACTTGATGGACTGTGGTTGTGAATTTGTGACTTCTGGTTGTGATATTTGACTTGTGGTTGTGATATGTTGTTATTTGAGTTGTGGTTGTGATATAATGTGTGAAAATGGTTTCGTTGTGATATATATGTGATTATTGTGATGTTTGTGATATATATGTGACATGTGATATATATTTGAGTTGTTTGTGTCAGTGGAATGCAAAAAAAAATTGCAATTTCGGTTTATTTACCGAGTGCAATGGTCATGGCACTCGGCAAAGCTGGGAAACTTTACCGAGTGGCAGGACATTGCACTCGGCAAAGATTTTAAAAATCTTTGCCAAAGATTTTAAAAATCTTTGCCGAGTGCCAAGCTAGGGAGGCACCCGGCAAAGAGCTTTTTAAAAAAAATAAAAAATGTCTTTGCCGAGTGCCTTGCCACCGCGGCACTCGGCAAAGAGTTTTTGAAAAAAAATAAAAAATGTCTTTGCCGAGTGCCTTGCCGCCACGGCACTCGGCAAAGAGTTTTTGAAAAAAATAATAAAAAATGTCTTTGCCGAGTGCCTTGCCACCGCAGCACTCGGCAAAGAGTTTTTGAAAAAAATAAGAATGTCTTTGCCGAGTGCCCTAACTGTCGGCACTCGGTAAAGGCGCCGTCAACGGAGCAGCGCCGTTGACGGCTGCGTTTCTTTGCCGAGTGCCGCCGTTGGCACTCGGAAAAGGATTTGCCGAGTGCCCGACAAATGGCCCTCGGCAAATAGCCTATTTGCCGTTAAATTTTTTTCCGATGGCTCTTTGCCGAGGGCGGTACTCGGCAAAGCCTTTGCCGAGGGCTTTTGGGCCTTTGCCGAGTGCCCTAGGCCCTCGGCAAAGAGGGCGCCTCCAGTAGTGTCAGCTCCCCACTAGCCTCCAGGAAGGCCACGCCCAAGGTGGCTTCTTAAAAAAAATGGAGCACAGCTATATGTATAGATCTAAACTATGCAGATTGTGTAGACCTGTACCCATAAGATTACTATCATTAGCGGAGTACCTCGCATAGGACCCCGGCTCCCCACTAGCCTCCAGGAAGGCCGCGCCCAAGGTGGTGTCTTAAAAAAATGGAGCACAGCTATATGTATAGATCTAAACTATGCAGATTGTGTAGACCTATACCCATAAGATTACTATCATTAGCGGAGTACCTCGCATAGGATGACATTGGATAGCTGGCTAGCTGATACAATACCACCCTACCCTTAGCTCTGAGTCACCCTAGAGTGCATGCTGAGGATGTAAAACTTAGTCTTCGGCTACAAGGAAGCAATGCGATTCTTGGAAGTGCTAGAGTCTTAGCTCTACCTCCATATGCACTGCCTCCTTCTTCCTATGAAGATGTGGTATATTTCCCTAACTAGCTCACATTTGAACCCCGACTACAAAGGAGAGCATGTGGTGTGTATGTGAAGGTCATGTGAAACTGGTTACCCAACTAAGTCCTTAGGGGGATCAGCAAGGCATCTCCTTCAATAGGAAAGATGTTTGTGTGTGATTTTGATCTGAAATTTTCTTTTATATCATCTAGCTGGGAGGGGTCTGCAACGGATGCTAGGGTTCTTAGGTCAGCCATGCTTAGAGGATTCCATGTGCCTCATGGCAAATATTATCTCATTGATAGTGGATATGCTAACACGTCATCCTTCCTATCGCCATACCATGGTGTTCGATACCATTTGAAGGAATTTTGGTGTGGACAACAACGGCCAAGAAATTATAAGGAGTTGTTGAATCATAGGCATGCCATATTGAGGAATCACATAGAGAGAGCAATTGGTGTTCTTAAGAAATGCTCCCCTATCTTAAAAGTTGGAAGGCATCACCCTATTGAAAACCAAGTGAAGATATACCAGCTACAGCAGTGGTGTTCCTCAATCTTATACGGATGCTTAATGCGGATTAGGGTTGGTTTAATCACCAAAGAAGCAACATATCTCCAAAACATTTTGTTGATCTCCCTGAAGGTGACAACTACTACAGTAATGATGTGATGTCCCTTAGCAGTCAAGTAGATGATGTAAACACAGTTAGAGATATGATAGCGCTAAATATGTGGAATGACTATAGTCATAACTCGTCCGAATAAATGTGAGTATTAACTGGTATCTTATGAAATATTTTGCTTCTGTATTTTCTGTCTTTTAATCCCTGATTCTTCTATTTGCATCATGATATTTTTGCATGTTTAAATTTGATACCAGATTTTTAATTTGTATTTGCAGCAACAATGTTTGGAAGAGGGTCTCCGAGGTTGAATTTTATCCAAGTTGTAGCTGTCCAAAGAAAGCCATCTCCAAAAATTTCAAGAGATCAAAAGAAAAAGGCATCGCCAAAAGGTATGTCATGTTTTCACTTTTTTTTGTCTGGTTAAATGCACATATGGGCTTCTCAAGATCAGTAGGTTGGTAGACTAAACACATATAATTATTTGTAGCTTTTGTGTGCTTCTCTATTCCAGCTGTACTTGATCGTTCAAGAGCAAGTTGGAACACAGGACTTGAAAAGGCTTTGGTTAACCTACTACATGATCACAACAATGACTGTTATAGGAGTCAGAATGGGTGGTTCATAGACACATGGAACCGAATCGTCAAATCATTCCATAAGAAGTTCCCCTATGTCAAATTTACAAAGGTTCAAATTCAATACAAAGAGAAAGAGCTGAAGAGGGAATATAGAATTCTAAAAGAAGCAAGAAAACAAAGCGGTGTGTCATGGGATCATAAGCTGTGCAGGATTGAAGGAGATGAAGCTGTTTGGAAGAACGTCATTACTGAGAGATTTTTTGTCTCTTGCTCATATTAATTCTGGTTAAATTCTTAAATATAGTGCTTTCTTTAGTCTCATTTATTTGCTAATTACTTTTCATTCTTGTATTCAATAAATAGTCTCATTGTAAGGCCAAGAAATTTTAGAATAAATCTTTCCCATTGTTTGAGGCTTTAGGAGAGCTATATGATGGTATGTTACCATTGCCAAATCTTTATTTTCCTACCAACCAAACAAGTTGTATTTAGTTCTCCTAAACATTAGTTGACTTCACTTTCTGATGTAGGACATACTGCTGAGGGGACCCTGAACTTCATATCCATTGTCCCTTCTCAAGTTCCTGTCACACAGCCTTCTCAAGCTGCTCTCACAAAACCTTCTGAAGCTGCTCACACAGCCTTCTCAAGCCACTCTCACATAGCCTTCTCAAGCTGCTGTCACAGAACATTATATGGGCAAAGAATATGAGAATTTCCCTTTTGACTCTTCTATACACAATGGTGAAACCGATGACGACGACTTGAGGATAGTGGAACAACCAGTTGCAAGCTTATTTGTTGTGTTGTGTTCCTATGGTGCCTCCTCTTCTTTTTCTCGTGCTGTGTTTTTGTTTGATCCATTGGTTATTGCTTCCTGGTGATGCATGCCATGGACTAACTACTGAAACACATGAGGAAGTCGTGTTCCTGTGCTGCCTCTTATGCCGTGTAATTTCTATAGGTATTGGTCTAGTATGTTGTGATTAGTGAATGTTTAATTTCTTTAGACATTGAATCTTTAAGTAGCATTGAGTATCCGTAGAAAGTTGTTTTGCAACAAATCCCTATCAATTACTTCAAACTAAACTCTCAGTGAGCTACTCTTTTGCAATGGAAATTGTTTCCTGAATTGCAGATGTTGTCTCACTATCTCACTAGTCCTTGATTGATTTAACTTTAGTTTATTTTTGTATAAATTCTATGTTAGCCAAAATGGTTTTGGTCCGTTGGCTAAATAGATAATAGATAGTTAGATTCCTAATTATCGTGAGTTGAGTACATGGGTAGTAGAAGTGTAGAGTGGAAAACAGATCAGACACCATTAATTTAGCTGAAACTTCAAGCAGGAGGTCCAGATCTAAATGTAGAGAAGCAGGTGTACATCTTTGAACAGAAAACATCCTCCTGACCTCGTAATTATCTCTCTGCTTTGCAGATGGTATTTTTGCACTATTTAGATAATTAGATTATAGATAGACACTTTTGAGTTTTATCTCTTGTTTGTGGTATCTCATATGAGTACGTATTGCTTATAAGTAGTTCTTGTGCTTCTACTTTTACCATTTACAGTCTGTTCGCTTGTTGGTTTCAGCCAGCCCAAATCAGCCAGCTAACAGTGTTTTTCTCTCACAAAAAACCAGCACCAGCACCAGCCAGCTCAAACCAGCACCAACACCAACCAGCGAACAGGCCCTTAGAGACTTACAAGTAGTTTTGGTGCAATGCATTGTACACTAAAACTTTGATTTTGTTTATTGGCCTTAAAACATACATATCTGTGTCCCTAAATAAGTACCTCTAATGTATCTAAGCATGATCTTTTACTAAAGTGATGACCTTTCCACTCAATAAGTTTACCTTTTTCCACCCTATTGTTACGAATAAAAGGAGACTGGAATGGGTAATGGTATTGAGGCCCAATGAGGACTATATATAAAGTACACGAGGGACGCAGGAGGGAAACCCTAAACTAGGAGATTACAATAATACCCTTGACCATTATACCTTAACACCCCCTCTCAAATACAACATGAATGCAATAGCGTTGCATTTGGAAAGTTGACACTATGCACTAGACTTGAAAAATAAAAGAGACTAAATACATCCAAAATCCAAAATAGAAGATGTCATCGAAGCGTGCAACTCTTGAACAATGTCGATATAGAAAATGATCCCCTCTACAAGAGGGTACAACCTACATAACATGTACTCTAGCAAATACCTCAGGTCTTCACAAAATAGTACTTCAACTCTTCAAATATGAACCTTGCTTTGGATACTTTTAAACTCGACGATAATACAGAGATGTGCCAAATCAAGCCAAAGGAAGCATAGAGAGATTACTGCTGCAAGACGAAAAGGAGTAGGATAGATTGATGATGACGAGAAATAGAAGGCCATTGATCATGAAGTGTAGCAAAACGGCTATGAAAGAGACCATGAGGGTATAGTCGAATAATGATGATGATTAGCTAAATTAATGGGACTCAGCTAACCAAACAAAAAAAATAGATTGACTGATCAAAAAATACATGGACACACACGGCTAGGATGAACCATGATGTGTAAAATTGGATTTGGATGGAATCAAATGTAACACAGGAATGGAATTTAGAAAATAGGCCTCAACACACCATAGGAGCAGCAAACAGCAATATCATAGCAACAATCAATGACTACTTGGATGGAAGCAGCTCAAGTAGCAGCACGCAGAATACAGATATTGGAGAGGTGAAAGCAATGGACTAGGAACGAGGAGAACTGTGATGGGTGAGACGGCATACAAGTAGAACAACCGTGACTGACTGCCACACTGCAACACTAAGGGCATGTTTGGTTGCTCCCTTCTTCCCCATCCTAGTTCTACTCATGCGCATAAACACAGAAAGAAGTCATTTGGTTGCTTTCTTTTTACTGTTCGCGATGACTCAACCCATGCAAATATACGGCTCTGTCCTGGCTCCGCAGAGAAGGCCATTCCGAGCTTCACTCGGGAGCCCGGCTGGGTGGATGCAGCGAACGAGACCCTGGCCCACACATCAGCCTCAGATAAATAGTCAATGTATTCGCTCATACAATGAGCGAAACATCTTCACAGTCATTGCATTCTTAGTACTTGTTGACATTTGTGAGTGCAAATATAATATTAAGGATTCCGCAATCGCATAGAACATTAGTGTAGCATTTTACTAGAAATATTTCATATATCGTTATTTATATTTTACCACAGAAAAACAATAGAGTAAAGATTTATTAAATAACAACAAAGGAGTATTTTACTAACATACCAACATAACTAGAGCAAGGGGTAATGGTAGGATTTATGTAGAATGACACACAGGGGATAAATTTATAAAGATAATATAAACTAATTAACTTAGGAGATCAACGGGTGAGGTAGATTCCTATGATATTCTTATTACAGGATCAAAGTATATATATACCTAACTATAGCTAAGACTCACTCTACTCTTGTGCACTTCGGGACGCCGCTAGACGGTAGAGCACCTCAAAAGATAACTCTACATATGCGACTACAGTCATATAATTTAAGAATCTGCTCAACATGTGGTGGACTATAGAGGATAGACGGGGCTGTCACCACCCGCTGCTACCACACAACTAGGGAACATGGTGCACTCACAGGCAGATCATCATATAAGCACTATGCTTCCACGAGACTCGGCTACTTAGCCCAATCGATAAACTAGCAGGCTAAGCACTCTATGAACCCACACACAAAAGTAAAGATAACCTTAACTAAGCAAGATACATATTCAAAGTAAGTATAGTCATAAGAATGATATAATGATAACAAAGTCTTATAAGATAAATAAGTGAAGATACAATGGCTTTACCGTGCCTCCGAGACTGGATCTGAAACCTGAGCATGAGCCCAACTTGACCCTCACTCCTGAGCTACTAATCTACTACATTGGAGAGCTCTAGATCTAATCCTCTTGGTATGCCTTGATATTGATCTCTGATGGATTTCTCTAGAGATTGGAGATTGGAGAGATGCCTCAAAAGAGGGTATGGGGGGCCTTAATAGGAGAAATCAGGGGTCCTGTGGGCCCATGAATCCATGGTAACATCAAATCTGAGCCCTCGATATGAACCGACCTTGAGCAATGGCATAGATTGAATCTAGGAGGCGGTGGAGAACTAACATACGAAGGAGAGGCTGACCTATGGGACCCACAAGCTGGCCGGCCTAGGGGTTGGGCCGGCTGGCCCACTACTGACACCATTTGGCCCAATCTTCGGCGATAAGTCTTCTAGATGATTCTAGAGTCTTCTTAGGTCGGTTTCGTCACGGATAAACGTGATTTGACCTGACGATTGGGTCCACCTTACTTGTTTTCTGGATAAATTCTCCTGCATTCATAGATTCACCAAAACTTATGGAATTTATTCGTTTAAACCGCTATACATATGTTTGGTGATTGAATTAAGTATATATATGCATGATATGTTGATGGTTTATGATTGACATTAACAACCGTCAACAGTACTGCATCCGCAAATACAACCAACCAAATACGTTTCTTTTTAGGGTCACTACATCCACTCAGCCTACCTTCACTCATCTAGGATATACGATACAACTCTATGAAATCTCAATGGAGAAACCAAGCACACCCTAATTGAAGCAACGGACCTGCAATTGGAGGCAGCGACAGGCAGCGAAGGATGGGCAGCCAAGGATGCATCCTCGATGAGGGCAGGGCCCAACTGGATCTGGATGAAGATGGCAGGTCCAACAATTAATGTACGTGCACGAGGACAAGCAGTAGCACCGATAGACAAGTGTATCTAATCCATGAACAGCACCACCAGAGCAGAGTGTACGACATGGCAGAGTTCGGGCAGATATCGCGTGCCGTAGCAGACCAGATGACACTACAGAGGCCGGGCAGACATCGGATGAGCGCCGAGGGACGACGGGCGGGTGTTCTGGCAGGCGGACACCAAGCTGATGCCGGGCGGACGAGCGGACGCTCAGGCACGGATAAAGACGGAACGAGCGGAGAAGGTGAGAGCGGAGGAGTCTGCGAGGATGCGTAGAGGCAAATGAGCGGGTGACGGACACGCCCCCCTTCTTCGTGTGGACAGCGCGCAGATACTTGGCGAACGGCGCATGCACTCCCTCGACGAGCGGTGCGCAGATGATGAATCCTGGTCGCATGGACTGCAACCGATGGGCGACGCGTGCGGACGGCGCATGGAAAACTCTAATGGGCCAGCAGTCTGCACGACGTCCAGGCGGATCCACAA